CATATGATGAATTAGGGCATATGATGAATTAGACATATGATGAATTAGACATATGATGAATTAGACATATGATGAATTGGGCATATGATGAATTGGGCATATGATGAATTAGACATACGATGAATAAGACATACGATGAATTAGGCATATGATACATATGCCCTGGCCCCATCCCCGCGCGCTGGCAGAACCGGCCCCAGGCCCCGAAGCATGACCCCAGGCCCCTGCAAATGGCCCCTGAAAATTCCCCAAAATATGCCCCGCATAAATCCCAAGAACAAACCAAGACTCTCTTTCAGCCCAGAAATGCCAAACTGGTCATTATCTACTCCCTAATTGTAAATTCAGGAGAGTTATTCACACATCAGGCATACGCCAAAGACCGCCCCGAAATGGCCCCGGGCCCCAGGCCCCAGGCCCAAGCCTCCCGCGCGCGCCGAGACATGGCCCCCCGAACTGATCTCAACTCCCGCCTTACAAAACATCCCCATAGCGCCGGCTCTTTCCGCCCAGCGACCGCCACACACCGCCCGAACCCTGGCGCCCGGCCCTACGCCCGCCCACTCTTGCCCGCCGCCTCAATTTGACAGCAATCGTGTGCTGAAGCGTGTGCCGAAACGTGTACTGAAAGCGTGCCGCCAGACGATTCCCGCCCACCCCCTCACCCCCACGGACACAAAAAACGCCCTATTGGACCCGAAAACCGACCCCATGGACCCGAAAACTGACCCCATGGACACAAAAGTCGATCTCATGGACACAAAAGTCGATCTCATGGACACAAAAGTCGATGTCATGGACACAAAAGTCGATGTCATGGACCCAAACACCGACCCCATGGACCCAAACACCGACCCCATGGACCCAAACACCGACCCCATGGAAACAAACACCGACTCCATGGAAACAAACACCGACTCCATGGACCCAAACACCGACCCCATGGACCCAAACACCGACCCCATGGAAACGAACACCGACTCCATGGAAACAAACACCGACTCCATGGACCCAAACACCGACCCCATGGAAACAAACACCGACTCCATGGACATAAAAACCGACTCCATGGACACAAACACCGCCCCCCGCAGCCTCGCGGACTTGCCGCCGCGCGTGCTCCAGGCCGTCCTCTGGTTCTTGCCGCAGCAGCTGCTCTGCTGCCTCGCGCGCACAAACTACCGCTTCTACGAGCCGTGCGCCCGGCAGCTCTACCGGAACATCGCCATCCAGGTGGAGCCCGTGCTCCGGCGCGCCGGCCCCCCCGGCGCACGGCGCCACGCGGACTTCCGCGAGCTGGCCGTGACCACCATCGGCGGGCTCGGCTCCGCGGCCGCGCCCCGTGCCGCCCACGCGCGGCTTGTGGCCGCTCGGATCCACACGCTCGTGCGGGCGCTCCAGGTCAACCCGCGCCTCGCGCAGTACGTCCGCGTGGTGGCCGTGGCGGACGCGTTTGGCGCGGCCGTGGGCGCGGCGTTGCGCGGGCTTGCCCGGTGTCTCTCGCGGGTGGCGAACGCGGTGCGCAACTTCTACATCGGCGACGCCCGGCTCCGGGCCTCGGTGCGCTACGCCGAGTGGGCCGGCCTTTTCCGTCTCCGCACGTTGGTGGTGGACGACCTCGCGCACGTGCGCGGCGAGCACCTCGCGCGGTTCCCGCAGTTGGACGAGCTCGTGGTGGCGGGCGTGGGGGCGGCGCGGCGGATCGACCCGTCTGCCGTGCCCGTGCTCGAGCGGCTCGCGCACATCCGCATCCGCGACGACGCGGCGGTGTACGACGCGTTCGTGGCCGCGCTCAACGCGCTCCACGCGGCCACGCCGTTCGTGTTGCGGCGGCTCCAGACGTTCAACGTGGTGCTCACGCACGGCAACAGCCGCGGGCGCTTGCCCTTCTTGGACGCGCGCACGCTTGTCAACTTCCAGGTCTCGTTGGGCTGCGACGCGCCCGAACGCTGCGGCATGGAGTGCCTTGGCGCTGGCCTCGCGCGCTTCGACTTCCACGCGCTCAAGCGGTTGTCCGTGGTGCAGAGCGGCCGCGCGGGGCTTTACTCGCACCGGCACTCCGAGAAGTGGGACCTCGTGGTGTTCTCGTTTGTCGCGGACGTGTTGGAGCACTGCGCCGCGCTCTTCTACGTCAGCATCCGCCACAGCGTGCCGTTGGACGGCGTCATCGCGGACGGCTACGAGGGCAACTACCTCCGCAAGGTGCAGCTCTACACCGCGGAGTTGCCGCGGCTCCTCAGCGCGGGCCGCCGCCCCGCGGTGAACCTCGTGCTCCCCTCCTTCGTTGCCTTGCTCGCCTGCTACGAGCAGCCCATGAACACGTTGCTATGGAACGGCTGCCGGTGTGCGCACTGCGCGGAGTATCTCGCCCGGCTCGACGACTACGTGCTCCACCACCGTTACTACAGCTCGGAGAAGCACGTGTTCAAGGACATGCAAACCGTGCAGATGGTGCGCGCCATGGCAGAGGTCTTGACGGGCCGCATGGGCCTCGACCCCAACTTGGGCGACATGCACTGCCTCGGCCGGCCCATGCGAAACACCGCCTGGAACTTCCACGACTGCGGCTCCGCTGTTCCCTTCCAGTGCTTGCCCGTAAAAACGTTCGACCTCCACGACATGGAGGACGACGCCGACGACTCCCGCGACGGCCGCGAGCGCTTCTTCGACGCCGCCGACACGCCCAACGACTGCGTGTTCTTGCGGAGGGAGCGCTTCTTCCCCAACTACCTGATCGTCATCTCGCACTTCCTCGACGACCTCGTCCGCAAAATGATCAATCTCAACAGGGGCGACGCCGAGGACGCGGACATCAACAGGCTCAGCTACGAGAACGACGGCTGGACCAGCTTGCACATCAACAAGATGTTGATCAACGGCATCGACTACAACTTCGACCACGAGGCCAACGGCACCATCTTCTACACGAACACCTACGACGACGCCGAGCCGCACTTGGACTAGGCGCCGGGGGGCCGCGCCCTCCCACAGCACACCTCCCTCGGCCGTAGGCTGCAATGAACCCGACCGCGCTTTTCTCTGGATGCCTGGCTTTTTTCAGGCGGCCTGGCTCTCGTCAGGCAGCCGGCGCGGCTTTTTTACCGCTTGGTCTTGTGCCCCGGTTGTTCCTGCCGGCTTCCCCAGATATCGCGTGCGGGTTTCGCTCCCGGCTCCATCGAGACACTACCACCACCACCACTACTACTACTACTACTACTACCTGCGGGCCATGCAAAGCCACGCCTTATCGGAGGTATGTCCCGTTTTCGACCGAGAACCAGAACACACACTGGATGCGGAATATTCCCGCCGTCGGAGTCATTTTTACCGGATAAAAAAAATACATGCGCTCTTGCGAGATAGCTGCTGGGTGCACTCCATCTCGGACCGCAATACCCCTCGAACCTGGACTGACATTGCAGTTTTTGGACCTCCCGAACGCACGCTTGGCGCTTCCGTTCCGCGATGCCGGGGAGCCAGATAAAAACCCCGTGTTGCGGACGCAGTCGGCCGTGGTGCTTTTCGAGAACGTCCGGCTCAAGCTCGAGTTCTACCATGCGTTGAGACTCGTGAACCCCAACACATTCCAAGGCGAACGGGCCCGCGTGCTAATCATTGAATGTGGGCAGGGCGCCCTTCAGCAAGGCGCGCCCGGGCTCCCGGGCGCTCTCCTTGTCAATTGCCAGACGCCAGAGGCGCTTCTTCTGGTGCTCAGGAACATCCCCACGACCAACGACCCGCGCATCGGGGCGTGTGTCCTCAACACTGTAATCATTGAAAACCTATCTGCCTTCTACTGGGCCAAACGCTCCGTGACCAAGGCCCTGGCGTCCAAATGGTACATGGACCTTAATGCCCGCGCACGCGTGCTCATGGAGACGTATCAGTGCAATGTTTTGGTGACGATGTGGGACAAGAACTACGAGAGGGGATTCAATGCCCGGCCCGCGCAAGAACCGGCGCCGCTGCGGCTCGTCGACTTGACATACACGCCGGCAGAGTTCTTCGAGATGCCGGCCTATGTGTTCGCCTCGCGGGCGCCGGGCAGTCTACAGTATATCGGCACGCAGTGGAGAGCCACATAAACGCAGCAAGAAAGCCAGTGCACGCCCAGTGGCGCGTCGACGTAGTCTACTTGATTTTTTTGTTCTGTCGTTTTATTGATGATCGTCAGGAAGCAAGCTCCCCTGTATGTGTCTAGAATGCTGGATGGTGACGCATTCCCCCTTTTTTTTCTGGTTGTCTTACATGACAGTCAAGTCGCCGAACTTCTCCTTGTAGGAAGGCACGGAGAACTTGTTGTTCTTGACCATGTATGTGACCTTGTCCTCCAAGTCGGGCTTGGCGCGGGACACGTCCTCGACAGTCAAGTCCTCGAATGGCCTGGCGTTCTCGATGTCCTTCAAGGTGGCCTGCAATTGCTCGACTTCCTGCAACACGGACTTCTCGGTCAACTTGGCGTTTTCCACGGCCTTCTGCTCGAAAATGTCGATGGTCTTCAAGGTCTTGGACACGTCGTACGTGACGGGCTTGAAGCCGGAAACGGCCTTCTCGACCTCGGCAACAACAGCCTGGTTCTTCAACACGCTCTTGTAGTACGCAAAGTCGACCTGCGTGGACTTCTCGGCCAAGGCCAAGTGTTCCTTCTTGGCCTCGTCGTTTCTCTTCTTGAAAGCAGTCAACGAAGACGCGGTGGACCCGGACAAGCCCAACGACTTGGAAATCTGGGCCCAGTTCAACTTGGTGGAGGCACTCTTGGCTACGGCAGACATTGTGTGTTTGTAGTTTGTGTGGGAGTTAACGGCGGTACCGATAGAACGTGGTTGTTTCGAGGAAAAAAACCCACTGTTCGCGGGCGTGCGCGCACCACAAACCGGTCTCCGGACTCGCCAATTGGCCAATTGGCGCGGGCCGCGGTGCCTCGGGCTGCGGTGGGTGCGAAAACGGCTGTGGGGTCCTGGCCCTGCTAATATCTGATTTGGGGCCTTGCTTTTGGAATCTGGGAGGGAAGTTGGACTCGTGCGGGGGGCAAAAGCAAATGTTGGAGATTTATATGGAAACAGTGATGGAAAGAGTTTTGGGATTAGTTTCGGAAACAGATTCGGAAACAGATTCGGAAACAGATTCGGAAACAGATTCGGAAACAGTGACGGAAACAGTGACGGAACCAGGGACTGACGGGAGATGGATGCATGCTATCTGATGTCTGGACGTGGCTGGCCCTGTTGCAGGCCCTCGAGTGGATGACCAGTACAGTACACTGACATTGTAGAAAAATTATAGATTCAAGGATTTTCTGCGCTTTTATTGCATGGCGAACGACGAGTCAAGGGGTGGACTCAGTGACTCGTAGTGGCACGGTAGATAGGGAACTACAGGCCTGGTTCTGCCTGGTTCACATTTTCTTGCGTACACGCAGAAGAGATATGCCCAGAAGAAATATGCTTGTACAAAGATTGGAATGCTGCATAACAATGATGTTTGATCCAATACTCAGAATATAAATCCACCCAATAGATAGTGTCTGCGCACTGTTTCGACCACCATGCCAGTGCGTATGGGTAATCTTTATTGAGGGTACATTTACACTTTGATGTACCAAACTACTCCATTCAGTCAATGTATTTCAGTCATAGGTCTTTAGGTATTCCTGCTAAAACTGTCAACAAAAGTGTTGCCATCGCAAGAGCTCTGTGTCCTGGCGAGCGACCAGGCAACTCCCCCATGTGCTAGATATTGTTTGAAAATACTAGACCACAATTTTAGTTGAGATCAAAACCACGTAGAATTTCGAAGTCAGTAAGAGCCACCCACTCATATCAGGCATCTTGATGCCCAAATAGTCCGTCCACGTGCTTCCCGCCTTGCAACCACGATGCGTCTCTACCTAGTGAAAAATACATATAAAAGAAAATTTCAAAAAAAAATCATTACAGGGAACTTGTTTTATGCTATATTCTGTCAGCAAATATCGGGCGGTTTCGAAATCGGGAGTTCTTGGAATATCGCGCACCACGCTATATGTTATTACCAGCATGGTGAGATATGCTGGAACTCGAGATCGACTAAATTGGAGAAAATTCTCAATACTTTGATGGATTTCCTGCCCTATATGGTATGATCATTAAATGATACTTCTGGCTAGGTTTGCAAAATGATACGGAGGGTCTTTTCAAAGAGTGACCAAGAGCAATCCACCATTTTTGAAACAATTAACTAGAGGGTGAACAAACAATATGTGGAAGAAACTCTCAAAATATTCCCAGTTGCAATCACAAGACGGATTCCCACCAATAGGAGAGAAGAATGCTCTCTCGTCAGCTGTATTCGTAAACCGACTTGGTAAAAGCCCTAAATCCAGGACCAAGAGAATAAATCAGCAGCAGAAATCAGAACCATTGAGCCAGGGAGTAAGCTTTTTAGAATATTGTTTGTCAGTAAAAATGAATAGAGCTGTGCGAAACTGTAAAAACTTTCAAATTGTCATAAGTCGAACTAGCATTTTCGGAATCGTCAAGAATGACACCCAATTCACCCATAAATTAGTGGTGTAACTTACAGCTTTTTGCTTTCTTCATTGGAATTTTTGAAAATACCATTGGTGATTTATAAACTGTCGTTTAGTCAGCTGTGACTCTTCATTTGCATATATATAATCGTTAGATTAAAAAAGCTACTGTCTGACCCAAGGTTAGCCTTTCACCAGTTCATGTATCACTTAAATTAGTACATCAGTGGGCTCAGAGTGGCTTTGATTGGAAATATACGGAGCAAATAGCAGAAAATATAAGGTAATTAAGTTTCTACTGCCTTTGTGAAATGTTGGAAGAAGAGGAAGTGACCGTGAGCCTGTGACTTTGAGAAAGAATTTTGCGAGTAGTCTAATTTAGGTTTCCAGTTTGAAGTGGGTTATGAAACAATCTTGGAATATCCTTTCGACCGGAAAATCGAAAGAACTTTGATGAGACGCCCCATCTGTTGTCTGTCATGCTTCCCCCAGTGCCTCCTTGTATGAATAACTCAATGTGTTAATCAAAACACAATTAAACATATTCAAAAATTGAGACCAAGTAACGTGTTTGAGTTCTTAAGACTTTAGGCTCTTTACGTTTAATGCAAGAGTATTTCAGTTAATCGTTGATTCATGGCAACAGCTTAGCTGCACCTGGCTTTGCTCATTGGTATGATTTTTCATCCTAAAACGTTTAGAAAACTATGTTCGAATCTGAAATGCAGATGGCTCTTTGGGGACAATTTCTTGCCCATTCCCGGGCAATATTGTAGGCTATGCGATAATATCCAGAAAAAGGCGGTTTCACAAATAAACGTTCTATTTACATTATACCGGAGAAGTCGACTCTCAGCAACAAATCTTCGGCTTGGGCCGAGAAACCGCCTGGGGGAGATACGTTGAGATCTTATTGACACTAAGTTTTTTAGATGTCGCTTAAAATCGTTCGAGTAGATGTGACTCGAACGTGTCGCTGGTTTTGGGAGATTAATGCGTCCAATAAGTTCAACAAAGAGACATATATATTTCTTGGCCAGCAGCCATTTTTGTTATTTGATTTGGATTTCCGGGAGTCAAAATCTATCATGAAAACCACTCTTTCATCAGAGCAGATTTCGTCACGCGATCGATGACAGACTGGTGTTGGTATGTGAGCTGAGGTCATCGATGCAACTAATACACTCACGAATATATTGAGTGCTAGTGAAGCAGTGCTGGCTCCTCATTGTCGCTCGAGATTATTAGGTAGTTGAATGAATTGAACTGACTGATCTTTACCCCATAGCGGGTCTGAAGTAATCTCCACTCGAATTGAGACCATCAATGGAATTGATACTCTGCCTTGACATATGCTGTTGTTGGACATGGAGTTTACCGGATCTTGCTTTACCAGTCCATCATATTGAAATATTTGCAAGTACTAATCTCCTAGCTGATTACACCAGCGAAAAACTGGGTGATATACGTATCTTTTTTCTGAACTGATGGCCTTGGTTGAAAATATCATATTTGTTGATGGGATGGTGCTATTTAAACTATCTGTTCATCTTACCATATCTAGAAACGGATACAGCACCTTCCAATAATAATGGTACATGGTGATGAACCACTTGAAGTGGGACTTTTACTTGGTCGGATATGACCCGATACTATACGCGAACAGATGCAATTGTTGATTTTTTCATGGTTTGATCTGATATAACCGAAGAAACGTAGATGATTTACTAGCAAGACAATATAGAAACACAACGTGAGGCACCACAACATGCTTTCAACTCACTTGCACTTTCACTCATACTGGTAGTTTATATACTATTATGACTCCCACTACAATAACTACAATAACTCGTACTATAATAATAACGCCTGCAATAACTATTACTACAGTAATTCTCACCACAATAACCCTTACTTTCTCATACTGTCACTCATAACACAATCTTTGACTATTATAGCTCTGACCACTACACCTCTTACAACCACAGCCGTCATTACTACAACTCTTACTACCACAACTGCCGCTACTACAACGGTCACTTCCGTAACTCGTTTTTTCTGGCCTCGAAAATATTTAAACCGGCCGCTGCTATTCAAACCATACAATCCACCAAGCGATGGGGAATTACACACTTTTCTATCTCGTGCAAGTACTTCAACTAGCATGGTACCCCAGTCGCACCATTACTTCGACTCGGACTAGCCTTCAGCCCACATACTTGCTCACTACCATTCCAACCCGCACTTTTGCAGCAATTCTGATCATACTTCTTCTCCGTGGTATTTAAAACATGGGTGAGTATAATGCAAACCATTCAAAATGGCATCTACATGGTATCCTCTCAGCATACCCACAAATCATATTGCAAGCAGACAACCCTGGACATTCGACAATACTCTCATGGACCGTTCGAATCTAGCGACTTCATGAACTCGGCCCCAGAAACCGCTTAGTGAGGGACTCCTCGAAACACGCGGGCCAACCGCCCAGCACTAAACAAATACGGCCTAAAATCAGCGGGATACACCACCCCCATCACACCGCGCGAATGCAGCCATTCTTCCGAACCCACAAATCAAACCACAAAAAACAAAGCAAACCACAAAAAACAACTAAAACCAAACACCAGAGAAAGGAAAAAATACATCAAACAATATACAAAGGACCGGGATCTTCTACCCCACATTGGTCCCGCCAGCCACATCTTGCCGACACCAATAAAACAGAACCGAAGACCAGAACTTACATGGCAACTCAGGCTTAAACGCTGACTTTGTCTTTTGGGGGTGATGGTTTGAGTTCTTGGTGTTTGCGCTATCCAGCGCGAGGAATGGGGGTAGAAATGGGCAACAAATAGGGCGACAAATAGGGCGACAAATAGGGCGACAAATTGGGCGACAAATAGGCCTACAAATAGGGCGACAAAATTGGGCGACAAATCGAGGGACAAATCGAGGGACAATTTGGCGCTAATCTGGGCGAAAGATTGAGCGACAATTAGGGCGAGAAATTGTTCGAGAAATAAGGCGACATGCTGACCGAGAGTTCAGATAAGAGTCCGGGCCCCAACCCGGGCAGGAATCTGGACGAGACCAGGCTTAGGGCCAGGGCCAGCGCGGCCCCGCGATCTGGGGCCGTCAGATCAGCACATCCGGCAGAATCCCACATCGCCCCGCGCCCTCCACCAAACCAGCCCACCACCCCATGCGATCGCCGCTTCTACGCCTACCTCCACTGCCCCACAAAGCCCCGGAGGACCATAGAAAGACCCTTGAAACCGCACCAAACATCCGCACCTCATAATCCCGAAAGCACACCGCCATGGCCCCCCACATGAAGGGCTTGCACCAGTTCATCTCGGACTTGCGCAACGCTGCCGACGCCGCCGAGGAGACGCGGCGCATCAACGCCGAAATCCACAACATCAAAACCAAGCACGCCGGGGGCCTCGACTCGTACCAGAAAAAAAAGTACGTTTGTAAGCTCTTGTACATCCAGCTCGCCGGCCACGGCGCCGACACCGGCTTTGGCCTCACGCACGCCCTCGACTTGCTTCACGGCCCGCTGTACCTGGAGAAACGCGTGGGCTACCTCGCCGTCTCCATCCTATATACCTACAGCGGCGGCCCCAGGCCCGAGCACCTCGAAGGCTTGGTGGTCCAAACACACGAGTTTGTGGCACGTGACCTCCGCTCCGGCTGCGAGGACACCAACGCGTTGGCGTTGCTGTTCGTGGCCAGCGCGTACGCCGGCGCGCCGCTCCTGGAAACAGGGCCCGCGGCGGAAGCCTGCACCCGCCTCACCGACTTGGTCTACGGGCTCTGCGTGTCGCCCGTGTGCGTCTCCACGGTCAAGATGCGGGCGCTCGCGGCGCTTCTAGTGTTGGCCCGCGCCCAGCCGCGCTTTGCCGAACACAACGACACATGGACCCCGCGGCTCTTGGCGTTGCTCGATGAGCGGGACATGGGCGTGGTCACGTGCACGGCGCCGTTGGCCGCGTTCTTGTTCCTGCTGGCCCCACACCACGCGCGGGCCGCGGTGCCGCGTGTCGCGGCGCTCTTGGAGGCAATCTTGGACGACAACACGTGTCCGCCGGCTTATTTGTACCACGGGGTGCCCGCGCCGTGGCTCGTGGTCAAGCTCTTGCAGCTAGTGGAGCATGCGTTCACGCACGCGCAGCTCGACGCGGCACGTTTGGACCAGCAGACGCTCGCGCGGCTCCGCCAGGCGGTGCTGACGGCGATCCACAACGCGACGCAGCCCTCGCCGGGACAGTCTGCCCATAACGTCCGCTCGGCCGTGCTCTTCCAGGCCGTGTCCATTGCGCCGTTCCTCGACGCGTCGCGCGAGGCCATCCACGGCGCCATCCACGCGTTGGCCCTGCTCCTCGGCACGCCGGAAACCAACACCCGCTACCTCGTGTTGGACGCGCTCGTCAAGCTCTGCGTGCGCTCGCACCGCGCCGCGGTGTTCCTGGAGTACTTCGACCGCATCGCCGCGTTGCTCCACGACAAGGACGTGTCTGTGCGCAAGAAGACGCTCGACCTCCTCTTTGCCATGTGTGACGAGCTCACGTACACTCGCGTCACTGCGTGCCTCCTCGACTACTTCCCGCGCGCGGACGTGGGCTTGAAGACTGACGTGCTGGTCAAGGTCGCGGTGTTGGCCGAGCGCTTCGCCACGGACGCGCTCTGGTACGTGTCCACCATGCTCCGGCTCCTCGCGCTTGGAGGGCTGAGCTCGCGGCCCGTGGCGGGCGTGGATGGCACGGCCCGCGCGGGCGACGTGTGGGAGCGCATTCTTCAGATTGTCGTCAACAACGAGGACTTGCAGAAGACTGCCGCCAAGTATGTGCTCAACATTCTCCGCAAACCCGAGACCGAGCCATCCGAGAGCATTTTCAAGGTCGCTGCATTTGTGCTCGGCGAGTTTGGTCACAAGTTGGTGGCCTCCGAGCCCGCGGGCTCCCACTTCGGTCTCGCCAACCAGTTCCAAGTTCTTCTGAGCGCATACCTGGCCTCAAGTGTACACACCAGGCCCTTGATCATGAACGCGTTTCTCAAGTTTGTCATGCACTTCCCGCACGAGGACTTCGTGCCCGATGTCTTAGATTTGTTCGATGCCGAGTCGTCTTCGCTAGACCTCGAGATCCAGACACGCGCCCACGAGTACTTGAAGGTTGCAACGTTGCTCACCAGCGGCAATGAGGCGGATGCCGCCTTCGCAGCGTCCTTGGTGCAGCCACTTCCGCCTTTTGAGAGCTCGGAAAATAAACTTATCACCCACTTGGGTAGCCTCAAAATCCTCGCAGCGCCGTCCTCGTCTAGCGTTAATGTGTCCAACATTCCTCCAGCTAACGCCAACGGCGCTCTTCAACAACGCCTGAGCGCTTCTTTCAGTTTACTCAGCGCAGAAGATACGGGTCCTGACCCCTTTGGCGACTCGCAAATCACCAAGGCCCCGCAATTATCCCCCAACTGGTACGACGGTTACCACCGGATGCTCCAGTTCGATGTCGGTATTTTCTACGAGGACCAGCTTGTCAAATTGACTTACCGCATTGTCCGAGACGGACCTACCTTGCGCATCACCTTCACAATCATCAACAACGCCGCCAAGACGGCTGAATCAGCGTTAACGGCTTTCACTGTGCACGATATCCACAGTTTTGGCCTACATAACTACTTGGTTAGCATGCCCAAGATCCCTGAGCTGAAAATCCCGCAGAAATCCACCATGGAGCTCGAGGTGAAGGTCCGCGATATTTTTGGAAGCAAAGACGGCCCTATTCTCGCCATGAGCTATAAATGCGGCGGCTCATTCAACACTTTAAATTTAAAAGTCCCTGTTGTGTTAACAAAGACATTATCAGGCACATCCATGAGCTCGATAGACGAGTTCAAGAGGCGATGGATTCAAATTGGAGAAGTGCTAGGTCTCGAAAAGGGAGAAATGCGTGCCGTAGTATCTGCTGCTCATAGGCGTAATTCTTCGACGCTAGTGATGATGCTCCAGAGACTAGGCTTATCTATCATACAGAGCACACCAGATGACCCACAATTCAATATTCTAGTCACGGCAGCAGGAATCTTGCGGACGGTGAAGTCGAACTGCGGAGTTTTGGTGACTGTGAAGAGTATAAGGCCAGACTCCAATGACCTTGATGTAATTGTCAGAAGTACCGGGCCCGGTGTTCCTGCAGTTGTGCATGATATCATCAGGGAGCTTCTTAATTACAAACACTAGTGGAAAAAAAAGCAATTCTTGGTGTGACTTATTGTTGAGCTCATCATCATTTGATTCTTTGATTTCCAATATTCTAAACATCGCCTTGTCTTTGTAGAGACTTCATGTCCTACGTTTTCAGAAGCAGGATTTTTCAGTCATGCTTGCAGCCGCAGTGTGTTCGTGACATATGTTTTTAACTTTTGCTTCACATCCTTGTGCAACGAAATATATCCTTTGAGAATCCATGTATTGTGAGTGCAATGTTTCGAACGCACTATTCAAAAGAACTATACCTCATTGAACATTATAAAGGACGAGCATCCATTGCGGGACAGACAGTCGATGCTCCCTAAGATACAAATTACGAAACAGGTATATCGCATAGCTGTCAAGGGATCTGCTTGATGTTGATGGCTCTTATTGGTCGTCTTTCAAGTCTATTGAATCACCAACAGTATGTAAGAGATTCGCGATGAGGCATTTATAAGATACAAATATTTAGACAATGTGCTCTTATAACTTCAAACCATTTTGAGCATACCAATCCTTTCATTTTCCGACTAGAATCTCGAAAGAGCGTGCTAAGCAACAACGACATCGACCTTGAAACATTCATATATGAATACTTCGAGATAGGGCTCAATTGAGAACCACTCACGATGAGCATCACCGAAAATGTAAAATCAGACGCGCTTTTTGAAACTCGTGATGCAATTGCATCTGTAGCACGCGTGATTTCACTGATTGGTGCTTTCATCACACAAGACTGGAAATCCTGACCATGAAATGACCTCTATTCGTGCCATCAGAAATGCCGTTCTAGGGACATCACACTTTTGCTGTACCAACAATCATTCAAGATTCATATTCTCCCACGTTGAGGAGTAGAGCCAAGCAGATGGAACCCCCGATGCAGCAGACTGTACTTGCCAATTGTTGAATCGCCGAGCGGCAGCCATGTCCATGGAGATAAAATGAATTTTTAAACACATGCATTTATCACTGCGTATTGAGCAGCCTTACGCCCTTATTTTGCGGGGCCTATAGGTTTTTGGCTTCAAGAATGGAAGTTTGGGGAAGTAGCCTGGGGCGCTCTGTGCACCTATCGCGTTTTCGACTTTTATATCCCGTACAAGCATGTACACGTTGGGAAAAGCCTGTACTTGTTGTTGAGTAATCAGGGCTAGCGATCTTCTGAATCCTTCATTCGTGTATAGTCTTCTTACCGCGTTCGTCACTTCTTCGCGCAAGGCATCTGCTTCTCTAGGCACGGGATACATATGGAAGCGAAAATGGAAGATTCCACTGACTTTCTCGACCTCGGATTGGGTGTTAGGGATAATCTGATGGAGGGCATGGTGCAATTCTCGCTTTATAAGTTTTCGAAATCTGCTCCGAGACACGGCCGTGCCCATTGGATTATGGACGCTTTTGAAGTATTCTAAAAAGCGGTATTTCCCGCGGTATTCCGTGAGACGTTTCAGCAAGTTCAGGTCGTTCAAGTTTGGGCTCCCGTAGTTGGTGAAAGTGTACGCCACATTTGACTTTCGTAGGCTGGATATGGTGTGGTTGTGAGGTATAAACGTGAGTGTGAAGTGATTGCACGAAAGTAACGTGGGGAGTTTTCCAATGACTCTTCTTTGCGAAAGCACCTGGTGACCTGAGGTGTCAATTCCACGGATATCAGTCGCTTCTTCGGGAAGAACATCGGTCCTGATATGGGGAAGATCTTTCCAAGACACCGGAGCCCTGCTGGTGACCGGGTCCCTCTTGACGCAGAGCTTGCTTGTTATTAGTGGGTTCGGCTTGACCAACAGTGCAGGTTTTTCTGGCGGAGCCAAAAACCTAGCGGCTGGTGCCGGGAGCGTGGAGAAAAATCGACGCATATCTCTGTATGAGAAGTACTGAAGCATCCTCATAGATGCCGGGGTTTCTCGAGGTGCGGCGCCATAGACAGGACCGAAGTTCAGGGCTCGGTTGGGCAGATGCGAGATTCCTCATTTATTTTGTCTTGTGAAGCAGGTGCCGAGTTTTTCTGCGTCGGCTTCTTTTTCTTCTATTCTCTTGATTTCTGTTCATTCAGGGTAGTCTGGACATTTCATGGGGTCCAAATTGGAGGGCTTTTCACATCCAATTGGATTGGAAGTTGTTCTCTCACGGGCTTCTGGTGAGTGTGTTTTGGGTGACATCGTAGGATATTCAAGTAGTTAGTAAGTGCTAGTCCTTCGGAGGGCTGGAGGGCCCTCAATACTGGACTGTGGATTAACGCAACATGCGTGGCATTGACTGTGGGGCAGCGACATTAACTTGGCTGGAATGCATGACGGTAGTTCGTAGTGTACCTTGGTTCCAGCGAGACTCGATGTTAAGCGGGCAGACCGAGTCCAGCAATGCGAGACAAGAGCAGCTTAACGATGTAGTCGCACGTGTGTGTCTGCGGTGCCTCTCGGGTCTCTGAGAAACGTCAATATAGTGTGACTGCAAATCTTGAGAGGCGGCTCTCGACCGAGTGAAGTCTGGGAGTTTGCAAAGGTCATTACGACGCAGTGTCTTTGAGACGCCGAGAGTCGCTTTCGCGAGACGATTGTCCTAATACCGTGTCGAGTTTTGTCAAGACTAGACAAGGCAGTTCAAGTCTGTCAATTCTGGTCAAGTCTGTCAAGCCTGTCAAGCCTGGATAGATCTGGTCAAAGCCATCAAGCTGTGAGAGGCTTCAAAAGGCTATGATTTCAAAAAAAGCAACACGGACGTCTTTCAGGATCCCGTAGTGAGTAGTTGTCAGAAAACCTCAGCTGCCGTGATGCACCGTAGAAAGCGATATCAAAACCTGTGAAAAACGTACCAAGAAACTGCAAAAAGCGTTACCCAAAAGCCACACAGCCACGAACGACCTTTCAAGCTTCAAGAGCTTTTCGAGCATTGCGATAAGAGCCACGAAGCCTTCCGAAAAGCACGAGTCACCCAGAAGCTATCCGAAACAGCGCAAAGTTTCAAGTAGCCACAGAGCACCTTCGGAAGCACCACGGGTTACGCAGAGGCAGAAACACACAAATCATTCATGAGCTTTCAAAACCCTGACGAGACACCCAGAAACCTTTAGAAACGCACTAGTCATTCACAAGCCTTCAAAGGCGCATGGGTCGCCCAGAAGTAGAAACACACGAATCACCCAGAAGCAGAAATATCACCCAGAAGCAGAAACGCACGAATCACCCACAATCCTGAAGCACCACGAGTCACTCCGAAACATTCATAAACATCACGAATCATCCATAAGCGTCCAGAAACGCCATACACGAGTCAGGCGGGAGCCGAAACGGCCGAGCAGAAGCGCACGAGTCACCAGAATCTCCCGAAAGCACGAGTCGCCCAGAATCTTTTAAAATCCACACGAGTCACCAGAACCTCCTGAAAAGCACGAGTCACCCAGAACCAGAAAAGCACGAGTCGCCCGGAAACCTTCAGAAACGCACGAGTCACGCAAAATTTTTCAAGATCAACACGGGTCACCCAGAAACCTTCAGAAACGCACGAGTCACCAGAACCTTCAGAAACGAACAAATCACGCAAAATCTTTCAAGATCAACACGAGTCACCAGAACCTCTCGAAAGCAAGAGTCGGGCAGAACCAGAAAAGTACGAGTCGCTCAGAAACCTTCAGAAACGAACAAATCATGCAAATCTTTCAAGATCCACACAGATCACCCAGAACCTCCGAAAGCACGAGTCAGGCAGAAGCAGAAAATAACGAGTACGCCCAGAAGCCTTCAGAACATCGCGAATCATCCATGAGCATTCAGAAAAGCACGAGT